TAACCAGCTGCAGGAGGTCCTCAGAGCTCCCCGAGGGACAAGGAAATGTGACGCTGCAAGGAAACAGGCAGGCAAAATTCCCAGCAGAGAATGCACCACCCAAAAGCCCTCGGTGGAGGAGAGGAGGTGCCTGGGGCAGGGCTCCACCAGCCCAAGGAACCAAAAGCCACCGTTCTGCTGCAGTGTGAGGAGCAGCCCAAGGGCAGGAACCTGCTGAGCAGCTCCTGCCCGGACAGAGTTGGGTCTTTCCTTCCAGCAGGTGCAGCCGGGGCTTTCCCCTTTGTGGTGAGCCCTTAGGGGAGGTCCACGAGCCAGTGACTATCACAGAGGAGCTATCCTTCAAAATTACAAGGAACCACTGAGAACACAGATTTCACAGTAGCAAAATTATCCCCAGTCAGAGGCCACCAGTGCCAAGCAGAACAAAGCCCACTACTCCCATTCCTATTCATCTCCTCCAAGAAGCTTTTGCCCAGGAGCTGCTGATTTGGGGAACTGCACTTGGTCCAGGGGGGCCAGAAGCAACCCCTAGTCCTGGGATGTGGGTCCAAGGAGCACACAAACACTGGGAGCACATCTCAAGGCTAAAGGAAAGTGGATTATATATAATAACAAGGCGTGTAATTCCTGCAGATGACTTTGAACACCCTCTGACACTCCAGTTCCAGTAACTACACACCTTCACTCTGTGCCTGGGTTAAATCTTTTCTACCAAAACTGATTACATGCTTAGTCCTCTTATTTTGCTTATTTAATAACCTCTCTGCATGTAACTATCCTGGGAAGTCAGCTAAAGTCAGGGAATGCCAGAACTAATCTGACTCATGACCAAACACCATTTCATTCTGTCCCTGTACAGAGCAGTTGATTTTATTCTTATTTTTTTGCCAAGAGTATTAATCATATTTTTAGGTAATATCCAGCCCAGAGCAGCTCAGCCACAAAAAAGCAAGTCCCAAATCGCTAGAAGTGGGTGGGAATCACAGTAAGTATCATAAAACAGTTTGCCTGAGCAGCTGAATCACTTTTCAATGCATAAAGCAGCATTTGGTTTCAGAATCATTTTCTGTCCAGTAACCCAGGTAATTACAGCAAAGAGTTTAATGGAGACTGAGGTTTTACAACAGATCTGGACCTGACCTTATCTTGACTCTGCTCCAGACTAACAGAGCTGTCATGTGCTCTTACAAATCTTCCTTAGGGTTATTTTGCTGTAATAGCTTTGGGTTATTTCCCTGGAAAGATTAGCCTGGAGAATGATAGCTTTCAATTGCCATGATTACCTGGCAAGCAGGAGCTGTAGCTGATTCCTGATGCTACTGAAGTCCAGCTGTGGGTCCCAAGCCCAGCAAATGTGCCCACAAAACAGTCGGAGTTGCTGCCAGAGAAGAAATAAATGAGCAGTTAAACCTTGGACAAGTTAAATCTTGATGACTTGAATTCCACTAGTTTCCTTGTATCTTTGCCCAAATTTGCTATGAGATGTGACAAAGGGAAGAAAGATTTTCAAGTCCGTATTTACCGAAACACAACTCTTCACAGCTTAAAACAATTAAAAACCAGAACATAACATGGAAAATGTTGCCTGGTTAAATCTAAATTTATCTCTAAACCAGCACCAAGGGGTGTTTGCATTTCCTCTTCGCTTTGCAATTTCTGGGACTTGTTTTATAGAGATTTTTCTAGGGAAACAACTTTTTTCCTGTCCACCCAATCTTTCTCTCTTGGTTACTCTGCATAGAAGACCAGCTCTTTGGCATTTTTGCAGTTTTCCAGTGGAAAACTTGTGCCTGTAGCTCAGGGCAGGAGAAAGCAAACCTCTAGAACCTTGGAAAGCATCCTCCGTGCTGAAGCCTGGCTGTGGCACTAAAGACCCCTGTTTTCCTCTGTCACAGTGTATGGAGAGAGGAAAGACAGGAGATATCTTTAAGGAAGGATCAGTAATTCAGCAGAAATGGACAACTTATCTCACGTTTAAAATATTCTGGCCTTGCAGGGGAGAAAGACAAAGGAAGCAGAAAGTTTGCCCAAACCCCAGAAGTTTCTCCTTACAGAAACTCTGTTTTCCTGCTCCAGTATGAATCGAGGTAAAAAAAATTTTTGGAAGTGCTCAGCCAAAAACTCCTGCTGGCAGAGCCAGCAGCAATTCGAGCTGGGGTTGCTCAGGGCTGCAGGTCGGCATTTTCAGTAGAAACAAGAGAAATCCTGTCCCCTGGAAACTGAATGATAAGAGCTGCAATCCGCGAGGGGGAAAGCGGGGCGAGGGGGGAGACCTCCTTGCGCTCTCCTGCCCCTGTAAGAGGGTCAAACCGGGATGGGGGAAACCGAGGGTTGATTCCAGACGGGAAGCATCCCT